ACATGCAGAATGGCCCCGAACACGAACGAAACAGAAAAAAAGTCGATACAAGAGGTTGTGAGTTTGTAAAAAGGAATCAGTTCCTACCTTAGTCGAGACCTGACGCCGTGTCATGGGACGCACTTTGGCAGCGTCTTCAGTGCAACACCGTCACTATCGTCGCTCACATGTACTGTTTTAAAACGCTTCTCCTGCCGCTCCAAATTCCCATTCTTTGCCAGTGCCCTCGAATTGTGCATGAAACAAACTGAATGAGAGTAACAAAAATAACTGCTGATGGCGAACAATTTCCGGTGATGCAGGTCACGCGCCGCCGTCGGTTAACGGTGACCTGCTTTGTAATACTACAGTAATCCCTCACTATAACGTGGTTCACCTTCCTCGGCTTCGCTGTTTCACTGATTTTTTTAGTGCAGTTTTTTTAATGCTTTTTTTTGTAAACAGTGAATTGCGTTCTGCATCCTGATTGGCTAAGGGACTGACCACCGTGAAGAGTCTCCGCACCTCGTCTCTGTACAGCTTGCTAAATTTACCTTTGCAAATTTTTGGTCTTTGGTTTCATTGTATCAGTGGCGGATGCTGGTCTGTCAAGGAGGGCAAGCTCAGTTTCGGCCTACATCATAAAATGTGTCCGTTTATTTATATGTGAATTCTACTCTCCGTTCCTTTAAAAAAAAAAAAAAAAAATGAAAAGGACGCCTTCACCATAAGATCGGTGATTGGCTCATTTCGGTGTCAATCAAAAAGAGATTCAGCCTCAGAGAGATCATCCAATCATCATGCAGAAAAACTATCTTCCGGGTCAGCCCATAAATGCCCACTGTCCATAGACTCCCGGAGACGCTGAGCGTCCGCTGGGCGTGACAAAACCAGCATTTATCCAATGACTCGTCTCGTTTCAGTGCATTGGGACAACCTACTCTGAACTCTCGACGCCGAGCGTCCGCGCGGTCGACGCTCAGCGTCCACACAGTTTAAAGCACAGTGAAGCTGCGGGATTGAATGAGAAAAGAGTCGCGTCGTAACCAGTAATAAGAAGCTTATTCGGAACAAAAGTTGAGCGCGTTGCAGTGCATATTTAGTCAATGACATGTCCACACAATTGTACGTACACACATATATTTGATCACTTACTTTTAGACATTTTAGGGGAAGCTGAACATCCCTTGCAGTCTTATAGCAATCGCCTACTAACTGACTGAAAGTGCTTTTACAATTTAAATACACCCTCATTCAGACAATCCTGCTGGTGTAAGTGGCAGTCCTACAAAAAAAAAAACTTTTACCGTAAGTGTTAAGCATCTTGCCTTTTAACTTCCTCCTCCCCCCCTGCTTTTCATAACAGGAAGAACTCGGATGAGGCTGACCTTGTCCCAGCCAAAGAAGCCAACGTCATTTGCCCCCAGGTGGTCATCTCGTTCTATGAGGAGCGCCTTACCTGGCATTCTTATCCCACAGAGGAGGAGGAGAAGAAGGAGGAGGAGAAAAAAAACTAGATAAGTGGATTTGGGAGAGGGGGAGAAAGTGAGGAGGTGCAGGGTTTTAATTACAAATACAGTACATAAACATGTAGAGCTTAGTTTATTGTAACAGACACTTTGGCAAGTGATTCAAGTCTAGAGAGTGGGTTGTTAATTGCCACCCTTTTTTTAACGCTTTTTTTTTTGTTGTTGTTGTTTTTGGGGGGGGGGGGTTTCCTGTGATGTGAGGATCCAAACTTCCATTTATCGAAATATTCTCTAACTTGTGATGACAAAGATTATTTTTTAAAGTGTCAACCATTACATTGTTTAAAGTGTTCCGCTTTCTTGCCAGAAGTTGTGAATAGCCCAAAATGGTGATGAAATGAAACAATCAAAGCTGTTACTCAGTCTCACGCAGCATGTGCAGAGCCGTCAATTCACGTCGGCCAAGCGCTGGCAAACAAATTGGTCTCTTGACTAAAGGCGTGTGTGTGCAAGACAAATGAAGATGGCAGAAATTCTCACGATGTACCGTATTTCCACGACCATAAGGCACACTTAAAAGTCTGAAATTTTCTCCCAAATGGACGGGGCACCGAATGATATATGTATGCACCGAGTTCCAAAACCGGTGAATGCTGCGCGACTTCGATGAGCGCTTCGTTTGACAGACTGATGTTGCACCGACACGCCGCTTATATAGAGGAATGTCGGACGTAACTGAGGACAACTTCATTTTTGAGGGGCCGCACAGCAACGAGACCGCCGACGACGGCGAGTGAACTTGCCCAGCTGTTCGTTTCAGATACAGAAGATGAGAATCCAAAAAATTAATATGAAATACATTGGTAAATACTTCAATAAAGTACATTCAACCTCAGTTTTGTTCCCGCTGCCTTTTTAAAAACATACACTCGCGTGCATGCATGAGACCGTATTTTTTTAAGCTGGAGTGTGTTTTGCCATGCCTGCGTCCACTAATACAAGTAGCCTTGTGTATATGATCCATACAGAAATAGCACCTGTATCTTTTAAAATACGGTGCGCCGTATGGTCGTGAAAATACGGTAAATCGCCTTTGTCCCATTGCCACCAGCTACCCTGTCCCCCTCCTATTAATTTTTTTATACCAAGGCCGTGTACGTATGTCTAGTGGCCTAAACACAGTGACCACGAGTTAGTTGCTGTGCCGTTGATGCCATCATTTCCAATGTGGCGACTCAACTAAGCTTATCTGTACTGTCTTTTTCACCCAATACGGTGCTTTGAAACGTAATCGTCTTTGTTGGGATAATGTGAAGTTGGTTTTTCCCCGCGTCAAAACATAGGCGACAATTTTGTTGTCGAACCTAAAGCCAAGTCTTGTAACAAAAGGCCCACGTTTTGAATCGATGAATCTCCCAAGTTTGAATGACTGATGCCATAATTTCCTGCCTTCCCGTTTTGAAAAGCGAAGTCTGAAACACTGATATTCAATATGCACAGCGAAACCAAATTAAAAAAGTATAACTGGGTGTAGCAAAGGGTACTTTTGAGTTCATGGGGTTTTTTTTTTATTGTTTTTTTATTTCCCTCCAGATCTTGGGAACAAAACTTCATCAGCCTCACTTTAGCGTTAATCCTGTCACCTCAATCTGAGATCTTCGAATGTAATTTTGGTCAACATTTGCGATTTAATATTTGACAGGATGTTGAAAGATGGTATTTGATAGGCGAATGGTTGATATCAACTGGCTTTTCAGTTAAACGTCAACCCTCCAGATTGTTTCTCGATGAGATGAGAGAAGTCTGCCATCAAATGAAATTGACCCGAAAAATAAAACTTGATGTCTCTGTTGTCTGCTTGCATGTTCACTCTGTGTGTGCTTTTGAGTTTTGCTTGAATACCGTTTCGTCATTTCGTGTAGTTGCGCATCACCACAATCGGAAAAACATTTGGAAATTCAGCCGTGTGCTCGACCAGTTTTCTCTCAAATTAACGAGTGTTTGTATGATAAGTTGTTTAATGCTTCCACGCTATTAAGTGCTATTTACTTTCAAGCCACTCTAGTAAATATAAATAACCCTTGTGTATGTGCACTTGCAGAAGCAACATGCGGTTGGATATAGTCAAGCCATTGATTGTTTGTGCTTAATAGTTTATCAAAACAGGAGTGACGATTGAGCATTCAGCAAAGTTTGTGGACACCATTCTCAACAGTCATCATTCACAAAAGAGGATGCGGGCACGAATATTTCATTGCGTGTAGTTTCTCTCTGGTGTGCGCAGCCAGATGTTCCACAGTTCACTTTGTATTTATCATGACAATTACTTTGTGATGTCGTGTGACATCCTTTGGAAAAACAAACAAATCACAAATGGACTTTAAGAAATACAGTAGTTGGCCTGAAAAGCCTGTTGAATTATTTTTTTTTTTTGCACTGAAATAGCTGTTTTCAAATTGTAAGATTGAAAGGCACCTCATGAAACTAATCAGCCCCCTGTGCAACTCTGTATTTTTCAGTGTATTTTTATACTTTCAATTAATGCTTTGTTTTTTTTTTTTAATGCAAAAATCTTTGTTGTAAATCAGTATTACTTCTGAACGGCCTTGATTCGTTTTCTGGTTATTTTGCATGTATCTTGCATTGTCACAATTGACTGATTCACTTTCAAACAATAAAATTTTTAATTTTCTGAACTGCGGATTCTGTTGTATACTGTCAACATTTCAGCCCACTCTGAGTAATCAAACTGCTCCAGCTGTGAAGGGTGTCTTGACCGGACTGAAACTGAAGTTTAGTTGCTTCTGAGACCAAAACATGTAATTTGATCAAAATGATCCAATTTTTTTGCTATCCAGAATCAAGTAATTATTTTATGCCAATTTTTCAAAACAATATTGGATTGGATCACTCTGGTCCAGATACATGGTTTTCAAGATATTCAAATCTGGATTACTCATGCTGGAAATGGGGCAACCATTTTCATGTGGGCAACCTCCAATATAGAGAACAACGGGTCGAAAAGCCTACAGTGGGTCACTTGAAGTCTCTTTGATTTTGAGACAACACAAAAGAAACAAACATCCACTTCGATTTGTAATTTCTTTAATAAACACTCATCTGAGCCACAGCAACAAATAAACATAAGTTCATTTTGAATAAATTGGAAGTTTCCACAAAAAAAAGGCGGGGGGCTACATTTCCAATAGTTAACAAAATACAGAATGTTGTTTTTTTGGAAATTACGAAGATAAATAACAGAAAAACTGAATCATCTTTCTTACTAGAATCTATCTGGGGGTTTATTTCATGGGGAAAAGATAAATATATATATATGTATATATATATATATATATAAATTTTTAACATGGCTATATTGTAAGGATTAAGGATTTATCTGCTTCATCACTGTAACAGTTGAACAAATCAAGTGCAGACTATGAATACAAGTAAGTACCACAAATGATATAAATTTATTATGTGACCAAGTTTTGCAACATTTTATTCCAGAAATCCACCTTGAAATACTACCCCGTTGGGATCAGGATAATCTTTAATATGATATCCACCTCCGACTGAAACACTTTGAACACCACAAATTGAAGATTTGATCCACACTTAAACTAAGATTGGATTTCATGATTCCATTTCAGAATCCTGCTTTCCCTTTTGAACAACTCACTTTCAAGATTGGACCCAATCCGTCAACCAAAATCCTGTCATATTATCTTTGACCAACTCGCCCCTTTAAGACACCTTGTGCCAAATGTTGTAAAGCTGCCCCAGAACGTAACAGAACAACCTCCATGAATCGCACAGGTAGGTTAGTCTTCTTTTCTATGTATGCCTTATTTTTGCAACAGCAAACACAAGATCGGATGTGACTTGCCCAAGCCCCACTCTGGTTAATCTCAAGTTATTTCAGTGAACACAGACCTACAAAAATCAAAAACAATTCAAGTGGTCACTAAACTACGGGTTAAATACATGTTGTTGAAACTGCCTCGACATCGCTTGACATCTCCTGTTATTTCAGTATGGACCATTTGATCTGCTCCTTGGCTGATTGCAGAACCTGGAAGAATCACAAAGAGGTCATGGGTTACATGATTCCGCATCATCACAGACATTTCTGTTTGTCTATACTGCATTTCTTGACACGCTGCAAGAGGAGTCTATGTATCGCCATAACAAGCCCTAACCACTAGATGTCACACTGACCATAATTTGTATTCACCGAGCAATCGCCAAGGCAGAAGAACCAAAGCGGACCGTTTTAAATTAGTAGCAGTTACATACTAATAAAATTTAAAAAAAAAAGCTGACTCAATCTCTCGTTTGACTCTCGGCAACTCAATTTGCTTGGGAAAATCTCAGCACACACACTTTGCTACAGTACATTGAAACACTTGAATTTCACAAATGTGACTATAGCTGCAAACAAAGCGTACTGCTCTAACTCAGCATGTCTAAAAAGACAGACTGTCTCCACACTGATCTATTATTACGGTACTGCATAGAAGTCAAGTGAGCCTGATACCTGGCATTTTTTGACAAGGTGCTTCAATGTACAGAAGATCAAATAAATACAGTCAACATGGCCAGAAGAAATGCAATTCCTAATAACGCAATGCCTTTTACAATGCAACTAACCATTCAAAACTTTGGAAGTTAGTCATGATTTAAATAATTCTCGAATATGCAACGGGATTAAAACACAGTACATGAATTATACGACAGTGTAGATTACTGTGAGGTGAGTAAAGACTTACGTTAGTCGTCAGAGCCAATTTCTCAGTAAAGTGCTGACAAGAGTTAGAGAAACGGAAAAACAGAAATGTGAGGCATTTGGACAAACAATCTCAAAATGCTCTACAGGCAAGGAAAATACAAACACAAGAAACAATGAAAATGTAGATTCCTGCTTGTAAGCAAAGAGCTACAGGCATAGGCAATCAAGAACGTTAGCATTCTGGAAGAGCGGAATAGAATAAAGCTATAGCAAACGATTCTTTTTTTGTTTTAGCGCTGTTATACTTGCACTGCGATAATGACTAAAGGCGGTTCGAATTAGCAAGCACGAGTATTAGCGCAACGGAGATTAGTCAGCCTCTTGTGCACTTGATTATGCCAGCGCTGCTTACATGTCATGCTTTCAACCGCTATTATTCGGTAGGTTGTTCAGCAAGATGAAGACTGTTGACTCATTACTGTGACCAAGTTATCAAGTTATTCAAATGCATTGTTTGTACTTATCGTCCGGTCCGACCTGGCAGACCCAAACTGATTGTGAGGGTTTTTTGAGGAGCGTCTGGCAGAATCCCCTGTCAGAAGGTGTTTCAACACCCACCTCCGGCAGAGCTTTTGAGTCAGAGTGCACCATGTTCCGTGCCTCTCTTGTCAAGGCAGCCAATCGAAGTTGTGGTCGTAAGGTGGTCAGTGCCTGTCGTGGTGGCAACCCCCAAACTCGCTGGTGGACACCGGCAGTAAGGGATACCGTCTAGCTGAAGGGGGAGTCCTACCAGGCCTTTAGGGCCAGAGGGACTCCAGAGGCAGCTCACGGCTACCGGCTGCCCAGGCGGCGTGTGGCTTCGGCGGTCACCGAGGCAAAAACTCAGGCGTGGGAAGAGTTCTTTGAGGCCATGGAAGCCGACATCTGGACAGCTCTGGAGAAATTCTGGTCCACCGTCCAACATCTCAGAAGTGGGAAGCAGTGCACCATTAACACTGTGTACAGTGGAGATGGGGCGCGGCTGACCTCAACTCGGGGCATGTGAGTCGGTGGGCAAAATACTTCCAAGACCTCCTCAACTCCACCAACATGCTTTCCTTCGAGGAAGCAGAGTCTGAGGACTCCTAGGTGGGCTCTCCCATCTCTGGGGTTGAAGTCACTGACATGGTTAAAAAGCTCCTCGGTGGTAAAGCCCCCGGGGTGGATGAGATCTGCCCTGAGTTCCTCAAGGCTATGGATGTGGTGGGGCTGTCTTGGTTGACACGCCTCTGCAACATCGCCTGGTCATCGGGGACAGTGCCTCTTGATTGGCAGACCGGGGTGGTGGTCCCTCTTTTTCAGAAGGGGGACCGGAGGGTGTGTTCTCACTACAGAGGGATCACACTCGTTAGCCTCCCTGGTAAATCTTATCAGGGGTGCTGGAGAGGAGGGTCCATCGGAGGTCGAGTCTCAGATTCACAAGGAGCAGTGCGGTTTTCGTCCTGGCCGTGGAACAGTGCACCAGCTCTACACCCTTCGCAAGGTCCTTGAGGTTACATGGGATCTCGCCCAACCAGTCGACATGTGCATTGTGGACTTGGTGAAGGCATTCGACCGTGTTCCTCGGGGAGTTCTGTAAGGGGTGCTCCACCAATGTCAGAGTTTGGTTCGAATTGCCGGCAGTAAGTCAGAATCGTGTCCACTGGGGGTTGGACTCCACCAAGGTAGCCTTTTGTCACCGATTCTGTTCATAAGCTTTATGGACAGAATGTCTAGGCGCAGCTGAGGCGTTGAGGGGGTCCGGTTTGGTGGCCTCAGTATTGCATCTCTACTTTTTGCACGTGATGTGGTGCTGGTGGCTTCTTCAAGCCGGGATCTCCAGCTCTCACTGGAGCAGTTTGCAACAGAGTGTGAAGCGTTGGGGATGAAAATCAGTACCTCCAAATCTGAAACAATGGTCTTCAGTTAGAAAAGGGTGGAGTGCCCTCTCCAGGTCGAGGTTATGATCTCACCCCAAGTGGAGGAGTTAAGTAACATGGGGTCTTGTTCACGAGTGAGGGCAGGAGGGAGCGAGAGATCGACAGGCAGATCAGTGCAGTGTCTGCTGTGATGCAGACTTTGTATCGTCTCGGGCATTATAGGTGGGGTACACCCTTGAACTGGTTGCCAGCCAATCGCAGGGCACACATAGGCTGTGTCCAAATTAACAGGCTGGGTCTTCCAAAGGACACATTTTCGGCCACGACGTCACTTCTGTCGCTACTCGACCGCATGCGGTGTCCAAATTCACATTAAGCCTGTGCAAATTCACCACTGTTCATGCGGTCCATGGAGGCTACATAAGGAGGAGCCTTTAAAGGCATCAAAGGACCCAGCCTGCGAATTGTCTCTCTCGAAATATGGAAACCGTGTGCGGTCGAGTTATGCCGGAGGTGACATCATGCAGCTGAAAAATACAGCTTTCCAAGGACACAGCCTGTGAATTTGGAAACAACCATACACAAACAAACATTCACACTCACAATCACACCTCGGGACAATTTGGAGTGTTCCACACTAACCTACCGTGCATGTTTTTGGTATATGGGCGGAAACTGAAATACCCAGAGAAAACTAACGCAGGCACGGGGTAAACATGGAAACTCCACACAGGAAGGTCGGAGCCCGGATTCGAACCTACGACCTCTGCTCTGTGAGGCGGATGTGCTAACCAGTCTCCACCATGCCGACCCCATTATGCACATGTGACTGAGAAATGCAGTTAAACTAGTAACGCTATGTAAAATGCTGCTCCTGACCAACACAGCAAGTTTAGTTGCATGTTTGCATGTGTGAGTGTGTGTGTGTGTGCATGCGTGTGTGTGTGTGTGTGTTACCTGTGCGACACTTTGTTCAGATAATGAACTTTCATCAACCTATAAAAATGAAAAGAAACAAAGATATGGTAACAAACAGAAAAAAACAGAAGATGTAAAGCACAGAAATCTTTACAAGGGTAAAATCAATCATATTTATTGGCTTATATTAGCAGTAAGCAGTCAAAATATTTCCACACAGGTTTGCATCTCAGGCCACCACATGCTCAAGACATAAAAATATCAAAGAATGTATTCAAAACGACACACAATGATTGATTTATTGATTTGTTTTGCCAAGGCCTTAAATTACTATTTCAAGTGATTAAGTACCTCAGTGGTAGAAATGACCAAAAACTGCAGAGTAGCCGGTGTAGACCTTAAGTTAAGCCTGTGCGCACGTAACAAATGTTTAATTGTCAGGGTTTGCTTAATGTTGCAAACAGTTGCAAAGACGTTTGCCAGACATTCCCAAATAGTTTTAATGGTTGCAAAAGAGGTTTTCATGCCGCCGTCAAATTTTGAACATGATCCATGTTTCTTTGTGATATGGAAAAAAAAAAGTGTTTGAGACCATTAAAATTGTTGGTGAACGTCTTTGCGACCTTGAACGAACCCTGACCACAAAACAAAATAATAATACATTCGCAAGTTGCGCACACACTTGCAAACTTCGTCGCTCAGTGCGATGGCCTTTTAAGACGGAGCAATTTATCTTCGAGCAGGTCTCGATGTTTTTTTTTCCAAAGTGATTTCACAAACCCAAGACAGTATTAAGAAGGGATACGCATCCCAAGTATTAACCTTTCAGCTTTTGTTAGTCATGGCACTCTATGACCATGCATCCATCCTCTCTCCACTGGACTACCTTTCTCACCCTGGTTTTCTCTGTCTAGAGCAGCTGGTTCTTGTCTGTTTGTGCCTGGAGGTTACCAGTGATGTGATCAAATAGGACAAAACCATAGGCAGGCTCTGACACAAGCTGATGCCAACCAAAGACGACAAGGAGAAGATAAATTGTAGAGTTTAAAGGAAGGATAACAATAAGAAAAGAGAAGAGGCCAATTATGAGAGTGGGATTTTCAGAGCAAGAACTTACCCTATAATTGACCTTTTGGAGGACTTGTTGTGCGTCACTCTCCAGGATCACTCTATAAAAAGAATAAACTTCAATTCAGTTACTTTTGTAGAATGATAGTCAAGACAAACCGATATGTATCCGACATTGTGAATGAACTACAATATTTAGAAAATATATATATTATTGTCACAGGCAGTTATGCCACCAGAGTTTTATGGGCCTATTGTTTATGTCGCAGATGCGTATTTATCCACTCGTGGTGGCGGTTCAACTCGGGGATGAAACTTGCTTTTCTAATAGCGCCGGTGACCCAAAAACTGGTAATCCTGTAGAAAAGGCCATGAAGTGGAGTAATCTTTATTGCTTTGGTGTTTTGAACATTGACATGGGGCTAGAGCCGTCGAATCAGGACTCTCCAATGTATTTTCATGACTGTTGTTTTAGATCCAACAAGTGTACCTGGGAATAGTTTTTATGGTTGTCGTATTGTTGATGTTTTGTGTTCTGTTGTATTTTTGTTCTTTCATGTTGAATGTTCTGATGAGCGCTTTGTTACAGCTGCAGCTGTTGTGAAAGCGCTAAATAAAAGTGTGTGGGGGAAAAAAATATATATATTTATTATGGATATCAGGATTCTTACCCCCCATCAATGATTTCATCAACAATGAGAAAGGCGCCTTCCATGTTTTCCAGGAAACACCTACGCTCCACATTTTTCCTGTAGAAAACAACAAATTAATTCATTCAAATGCATGTTCATGATTGAGTTGAGTAGGGTTTCTCTGATTTCTAACATTTAAGCAGTTTGGATAGGTGCAAAATTCCACCACGTTCAACCATTTTCACGTTTGGCTAATGTACAGCTTGTGATGCACCTACTCTCCTCCAAGAGCTAATTACTTTGCCATGATCAAAATCAAATACACCATGTCACTGACTTACAGTAAAATACTCAGAATATGTGGATTAATTACCTCAGGATTTGATTGAGGCAGTCAAATAGGCAGTTGAGTACAGACATCAGCATCAACTTGAGGAAAAGAAAAAGAAAAATCAGTTTAGAATGACCTATTTATGGTGGCGTTAATGTGTTACAAGAGGACAATCCGTGGAAATCCAACATTTTGGTTAATCTAGTGATGGAGAAAGACAAACTTAATATGATCATGCTTCAAAGTTTTATTTCAGTATATGCTTGATTGACCTCGAATGCGTATGTTCTCACAGCTTGTACACAATGGAGCACATAGAAAAAAGGGCTAACTTGAGCTGAATGAAGCCAAGGCCTCATTAATTGATAATATAGACAGGAAGGTTCAACTTCGGGAGGGCAGCATGAGAAGATGTCATTCAGTTTGTTACAGTGTCTCAATTCATGCGAAATCTACCCATGGAATTCACAAGGTATCCATTGTTTGCACCGGAAGATGTTTTGGCCTCCAGGTGTCCACTGAGGGGCATATCGGTGGGCTGAGCTGGGATGCGTGACATGCAAATTAAAGAGGAATGTTGTTTCTGATATGTTACTTGCATTTTGCATATCCTGTGAATAAAAAGTGGTCAGAGGGGGTGCGAAGGTGGGGTTTTCGATCTGAGAGGCAACACGACTTGTGTGAGGAACTTCGCCTTCTTTGCTGATCAGCAAAAGACAATCTGTTCCTGAGTTGAGTTGAGTCGAGTCTTTTCATTCAAAGTTCAAGCTGTCCGGGTGAATTCCCTGACATCTAGCCAAAATTGAGCACCAAAAGAAGCCCTGCTTTTCCAAAACGTTGGTCAGTACAGTGGACATTGTGCTACTGGAAAATAAAAATGATTTTCTTCTTGGGCCTGACTACAGTCACCATACTGTTCGCCCACCGCATTGACTCATGTTGCGTTGTGATTACATCCGACCGCTCCATTTTGTGAAGCTGTTTAATTACAGCTGTTCAATTACAGAGCAACTGGGATCCTTCTGGGTGCAGGTAACACTGGTCTTATTTCAGGGTCTATTTTGATGCTGTGTAAGCAGCCAAGCCCAGAGAATAGGTTCTCATAGTTAGTTTCAACTTCGGGAGCATTTTAGCATTTAGCATTTTAGCTTCTTTTCCCATGCTATATATATTTTCAGGTGTGTGCTTGTTTCTCTTCCTAGGATCGCTGGAGCATCTCTTGCGATATTTTCAAAATCACTGCTGTGTTTTTGACCCTTGAACACACATGATTGATGGTTTGGCCAAGGGCTTCATCTTGTGTCACCAACTGCCTGCGTGCATCCAGGGAGTTGTAAATGGAGTCAACCTACATTGGAAGAACAGGAGAAGGGACTTGCATTTATCACCAATGTCTGAGTTGGAGGTGCTATCACGAGGGTTGGTGAGTTTGCTCACGGTGGAAAAAAGAACTTTTTGGTTATTTGAGCTGATGTGGATGAGTTTTGAGTCATAGGTGATGAGGGCATGGATAAAGGCGGATTTGTCAAGTGGAAGGTCGTCAATGTATGCTTGTAGATACTGTGAGTCGGAATGTCTGTCAAAATGGCGGTTTCTGGATTTTCGGTGGTGAAAGTCAGGAGAGAACCAGGGAGCTGAGTATTTAAAGGAAGCTGTTTCGTTTAAGGGGGCTAATTGATCAAGGCAAGTGGAGGGAAAGTTGCTTGAAATGGGTGTGGAGGGGGGTGGGGGGGGGGGGGGGCTATAAGCGAGGCTGAGAAATTTTGGAGCTGGATGGATGTGATGTTTCAGAAGGATACTACACATTTTTCTTTTGGAACTGGAGTGGGAAGGTGGGTATCAAAAATGATGGCCAGGTGGTAGATGTGGTAGCTGTAGTTGAAACTGGTGGTTTGCTGAATGATGAGACCAGTGGAGCAGACTAGATCCAGATGGAAAACAGGCAGGACAGCAGCCTCCAAGGACCGAGTTGGGACACCCCTGCTCTAATTGAAATAATAGGCAACAGTGTGCGCAGGGGACTGTAGGGGAAGCATGGCAGGTGGAAAGGTTTTGTAAGAGATGGTACAGCCAGTGCAGAGAGAGAGGGAACCACTGACAGTGGTCATTGACAGGTAGACAGCAGTCATTCGTGTGGCAGTGTCTGGATAGTGTGTTGGATGTTGTCAGCAAGCAATGAGCTACCTTGCTTATTTGGGTGGGCTTCATTTGTGTGGTAGAACGATGAGTGTTTCCAGAGAAGATTAGAATGATCAATGAAGCTCAGATTGTTTGTTCAACAGGCAGAGAGAAGCCAACTGCTCAAGGAGAGGATCCTGCAAGAATCCATACTCACGGTTGTAAGGGCGGATTGGAATTGGGAATGCATCCTACCTCATTCTCTTGACAGCTTCCGACCACATAGAGGAAAAGGTCTATGCTGCTTTTATAGACGATCGTCATTCCCTCCAGGAAAGCTATTTCATCTGGGGGGGTTGGGTGGTCAGAAAGGGGGGGGGCATAGTGAAAAATTAAATCATAACAAAATATACACAGTCCAGTATATATATGGTACAGTATATGTGGTACATTATGTAATCACTGAATAGTTCCATGTAAGGTCAGCCCGTTTAATCACAAAGGCCTGAGCCTGTATTTGAAACCATGACCACTGAACGGTAAGCCACCAAGCCGCCTTGCTTAAATATGATTAGACTGAGGTATTGTTGTTTTATAAAATCATTTCAAGTTACAGAAATATTTTTTTGTTTGTAATACGGATGTGGAAATATGTTTGCACGTGTTGAATTTAATGACAACAATATCTGACAAAACGAGCGCAACATTCAATATAATTCCAAAAGGCAGCACGGTGTACAAAAAAAGCAGAAAATGACAAATTGTAACCTACTGTCTGCTTTGTGAGTCTTGTTGAAAATGTTCTTCTCAAAGTTCCTTTGGTCCTTCATGGAGGGGTAAAGCTCTGGGTCATAGTACTAAGATAGGGCAGACGGAACATGGAAAGAATTTAAAAAAACAGTTGAGCAAATATAGCACTTAAATATATTTGACCCCTCTCATGAAAACAAAAAATACAATAAAACACCATGCGGCATTTTGAAGTGGTGTTTGAGATACATAAAGATATATCCATCTATCCATTTTCAACACCGCTTGTCCTGAACATGGTCGTGGGGAATTTCTGGAGCCTATCCCAGCTGACTTTGGGTGGAAGGCAGACCAAACCCTGAACTGGTCGCCAGTCAGTTGCAGGGCACATCAAGGCAAACGACCATTCACACCGTCACTGAGTGGGAACCGATCCCATGGTGCCTGCTCACAAGTCTGGTGTGTGTACTATACATTTGATAAGTTAGCACGCTACTAAAACGCCTTTCAATATACAATTTATTAACCAAGTTGTATTGTACTGCATTGCATATATTCCAGAAACCTCTAGTCTAGTATCGTACTATGATATAGTAAAAGAATGTTCGAAAACCAATCACACACAGTATTTATTACCCTATTCTCAATGTTTATTATGGTTTTCGGTTTACCTTTGAGAGAAGTCTGTTGCCATCGTTGTCAAGAATGAAAACAGCTTTCACTGTGTAGAGGGAAGGTTCCTGCAAAGAAGCAGGATGCAAAGGTTTCATTTTTGCATAGAGAGAGGAAGTAAAACATCGAGGATGCGAGAAGCATTCCTGCCACCCATGCAAGTTTTATGAACATCTGATCTCCATATAAAACTTGCTTTTCCATTTCTGCCATCTTCTCATGTAGTGCGAATGATTATTTTGTTTTAGTTCCAAGTCAGCAGCATGACAACCCTGAAGCTGTTACAGACAGATTGCACTTGACCAGTTTTCAGAGATTGACATTTTATATCAAAAGGATGAACATGCTTTATTTGAATTGATATGAAACAAAAGTTGCCCTATATGGCGTCAGAAGTACCGTATTGGCCCGAATATAAGACGGCCCTGATTATAAGACGACCCCCTCTTTTTCAAGATTCAAGTTTGAAAAAAGACTTTTTGAACACCAAATTAATTTTTATACAGAAAATAATTACAGTACATCTGAAACAAATGATTATAACAATATATTTGAGAGAAAAAGCATGTTATTTTGCCCCATTCAAATCTTAATATCTGAACATTTAAATATGTAAACTAAAGTGCAATCACCTGCGTAAATGAATGGCTTCTGGTTTTTGAAATGTAAATTACATCATAACTTCTCCTCAGCTACCGGTTATCCTGGCCGATCTTCGACCCACTTTTCTCCAGATTGTCGCTATGTTTCTCCATTTTCTGTTATCGCTTCTATTATTTTCTTCTCTTTTCTTTCTTACCGCTATTTTTTATTTTTCTTCTTCGTGCTACCGCTGTTTTTATTTTTATTCATCGTGACAGGGGTTCACTTTGGCCTGTGGAGTCAAGTTCAGCATTCGGTTCAATGATATCTGGCGCCATCTAGCGTCGTGAATGGGTATAATGTCTCGACCCGAATATAAGACGACCCACACTTTTTCAGTCTTATTTCAATGCAAAAAACATTGTCTTATATTCAGGCCAATACGGTAAAAACACACTATCATGGCTGGCCGCTCACTTTCGACATCCCGGTGAACCACACTGTAGAGAAGGAGACCAGCACAGTAGCAACACGCACAACGGGGCACAAGAAGTCCACTTTTACTGTTGTGCTTGGTTGCCATGGTAATGGACAGAAACTGCCACCAATGGTGATTTTTAAGAGGGAGACGCTGCCGAAAGCAAAGTTTCCAGCCGAAGTCATCCTTCAGGCTAATAAAAAAAAGGCTGGATGGATGAGGAGAAAAGGAGAGAGTGGCTGAGTGAGGTGTACGTAAAGAGACCGGATGTTTTTTTTTTTTTTTTCCCCGCCTCCCCACCCCTGTTGGTCTTTTA